AAAAAAAAAAAAAAAAAAAAAAAAAGAAAAGAAAAAAAAAAAAAAGATGCAGTGGCGCACATCTGTAGTCCCAGGTCCTCCAGAGACTGAGGTAGGAAGATTCTTTAAGCCCCAGGGGATCAAGGCTGTAGTAAGCTATTATTGTGCACAACACTTCAGCACGGGGTAACAGAGAGAAACTCTGTCTCCAAAAGAGAAGAAAAAAAGAAAGAAAATAATTTTGTATCACTGAACAATGTGTTTGTGTGTGTGAGTATTGTTTTTGTTTTGTTTTTGTTAGAGACAGGGTCTTGCTTTCTCACCAGGTTGCAATGCTTTGGCTATTCACAGGCACAATCTTAGCTTACTGTAGCCTCAAATTCCGAGGCTCAAGGGATCCTCTTGCCTCAGCCTCCTACATAGCTGGGACTACAGGCATGTACCACCATGCCTAGCTAATTTCCTTTTTTTCTTTGGGGAGAGAAGGTCTTGCTATACTGCCCAGGCTGGTCTCCAACTCCTGGCCTCAAGGCCTCAAACAATCATTGTACCTTTGGCTTCCCAAAGGGCTTTTTTTTTTTTTTTTTTTTTTTTTTGAGACGGAGTTTCACTCATGTTACCCAGGCTGGAGTGCAACGGCGCGATCTCGGCTCACCGCAACCTCCACCTCCTGGGTTCAGGCAATTCTCCTGCCTCAGCCTCCTGAGTATCTGGGATTACAGGCACGCACCTCCATGCCCAGCTAACTTTTTGTATTTTTTTAGTAGAGACGGGGTTTCACCATGTTGACCAGGATGGTCTCGATCTCTTGACCTCGTGATCCACCCGCCTCGGCCTCCCAAAGTGCTGGGATTACAGGCTTGAGCCACCGTGCCCGGCCTCCAAAGGGCTTTTTTTTGTTGTTGTTTTAATCATTTTTACCATAGTTATAATCTGCCTTTTCTAAGTTTAGATATAAAATACTTACCCCTGTGTTACAATTGCCTACAGCAGAAGCCTATTGATCCTAGACTCTAATCCTAGGTAAGCATTTTGTTTTGTAACACACAAATATTTTGTTTTGTAACACACAAATACTTACCTAGGATTAGAGTCTAGGATCAGTAGGCTCCTGCTGTAGGCAACTGTAACACAGTGGTAAGTATTTGTATATCTAACTTAGAAAAGGTAGGGTATAACTATGGTAAAATGATTTTTTAAAAGTCCTTTGGGAGGCCAAAGGTGCAATGATTGCTTGAGACCAGCAGTTGAGACCAGCCTGGAGTGTAGGAGCAATACACTCTATTCTATAGCCTAGGTATATAAAAGGCTATACCATCTAGGTTTGTGTAAGCACACTGAGTTCCCATAATGATGAAACTGCTTAATGACACATTTCTCAGAATGTGTCCTCATCATTAAGCAGCAGATGACTATAGCTCAATTCAACTTGGGTATTGACAGTGTGAGTCAACTAATGACTAGAATTTACAACTCTGTTAAACAATAGGTATGTATGTTAACATATAACAGAGAGACATGTGGTTGATATTTGGTGATTATTATTTTTTCATCCTGCTATAAAACCACTTTATTATATTAATAAAATATACCAAGTTTAGTCATTTGGAATCATATACCACAAATGAGGTCAAAGTATCTCAGGAATAGAAGAAATCATGAATGCCATCATTTAACTCTGTAAATATTCTTATCAAAAAATAAAAAATTCTGCAATCTTTAAATATTTGAAAATCAAATACTGGTGGCTGGGTGCAGTGGCTCACTCCTGTTAATCCCAGCACTTTGGGACAACGGGGTAGGCAGATCACTTGAGGTCATGAGTTTGGAGTTTGACACCAGCATGGCCAAACTGGTGAAACCCCTTCTCTACTAAAAATACAAAAATTAGCTGGGTGTGGTGGCACATGCCTGTAGTTCCAGCTACGTGGAAGCCTGAGGCAGGAGAATCATTTGGACCTGGAAGGTGGAGATTGCAGTGAGCCGAGACTGTGCCACTGCACTCCTGCCTGGGCAACAGAGCCAGACTTCGTCCGAAAAAAACAAAAAACAAAAAACAAAAAACAAACATTCATTGATACATTTTTTTCTTTCTTTTTTTTTTCACTGATACATTTGAAAAATTAGTCCTTGTTATGTCAAACACTGCGCTTCCTCTTCACCATTACACAATCTCAGCTTCAGAGGCCACCTGTACTAAATTTAGCATGAAGTACACCATGTCAAGAACAAAACACAGTGACCTTGGATTTGGCAAGCGTTTCCTAAATACAATACTAAAAGTACAAGACACAAAGGAACAAAATATATATATATTGGAATACATAAAAATTTAAAACTTGTAATCCAAAGAACACCACCAAGAAAGTAAAAAGACAACCCACAGATTAGGAAAAAGTATTTGTGTATCATAGCTCCCATAAGGATTGACATCCAGAATATATAAAGAGCTCTTACAACTCAAATCAGATTGTGTGTGATTGAACAAAACTGTGAACTTCCTAAAAAACACTGTCTTACGTACTAAAAATGAGTGAATCATAAGACTTGTGAATTATATCTCAATAAAGCTATTTATGTTTTAAGTATCAAATTAGGGTAGAAATCCTTGAGGGCTGCAATTGAGTAATGAACTAGGTCAATTCTTTGTTGAACTGCTCTGCTGATGAAGTTAAATTTGTTTAAGGAATTGATTTCATTACTAGGCAGTGATTGAATAGTTTGAAAATCCATTTCCAACAACGTCATTTATAATTTATAAATGAGGTTAAACAATTTTTTTTTTTTTGGAGACAGGGTCCCACCCTGTTGCCCAGGCTAGAGTGCAGTGGTGTAATCACAGTTCAATGAAGCCTCAAACTCCACCAGCTCAGGTGATTTTACTAAATCAGCCTCCCAAGTAGCTGGGACTACAGGTGTGCACCATTACTAGCGAATTTTTCTACTGTTTGCAGATGGAGTTTCGTTGTGTTGCCCAGGCTGGTCTTGAACTTAAGAGCTAAAGTGATCCACTCACCTCAGCCTCCCCAGCTGCTGGCATTGCAGGTGTGAGCCATCACGCCTAGCCAACAATGTTGTTTTTAAGGAAAAACAGAAAAAAAAAAAAGTGGGCAACTGAAACCACTGATTACCTTAAATATTATTTCAAAAATATCTTATTGGCGGGGCATGGTGGCTCACGTCTGTAATCCCAGCACTTTGGGAGGCCAAGGCAGGCGTGTCACAAGGTCAGGAGTTCATCATCAGTCTGGCCAACATAGTGAAAACCTATCTCTACTAAAAATAAAAAAATTAGCTGGGTGTGGTGGTGCACACCTGTAATCCTAATCCCAGCTACTCAGGTGGCGTAAGCAGGAGAATTGCTTGAACCAGAAAGGAGGAGGTTGCAGTGAGCCAAGATTTTACCACTGCACTCCAGCCTGGGGACAAAGCCAGACTCTATCACAAAAAAGGTAATTAAAAGAAGAATCATGGGCCGGGCGCGGTGGCTCACGCCTGTAATCCCAGCACTTTGGGAGGCCGAGGCGGGTGGATCACAAGGTCAAGAGATCGAGACCATCCTGGTCAACATGGTGAAACCCCATCTCTATTAAAAATACAAAAAATTAACTGGGCATGGTGGTGCGGCCTGTAGTCCCAGCTACTTGGGAGGCTGAGGCAGAAGAATTGCCTGAACCCAGGAGGCAGAGGTTGCGGTGAGCCGAGATCGCACCATTGCACTCCAGCCTGGGTAACAAGAGTGAAACTCCGTCTCAAAAAAAAAAAAAAAAAGAATCTTGACCGGTTGTAGTGGCTCATGCCTGTAATCCCAGCACTTTGGGAGGCCGAGGTGGGTGGATCACGAGGTCAGGAGTTCAGGCCCAGCCTGGCCAAGATGGTGAAATCCCATCTCTATTAAATATACAAAAATTAGCCTGGCAAGGTGGCAGGTGCCTGTAATCCCAGCTATTTGGGAGGCTGAGGCAGGAGAATTGCTTGAACCCGGGCAGCAGAGGTTGCAGTGAGCCAAGATCGCACCACTGCACTCCAGCCTGGGCAACAGAGCAAGACTCCAACTCAAAAAAAAAAATTCTTATTGCTGCTAATGGTAATTGTGAAAATGTGATTGCAGAGATTTCCTGAGATTATCTGACCTAATGAAGAAATCTCACCCTTCCTATGCTCTACCTGAAGAGGACACCCTATGCTGCTGCTACTGAAGAAGGGCAAAACATAAGACAGCAACTTTCTTCCAACTGCAGGACAAGATATTTAGACATCACTTTTGATGTGTCCATTCTATTTACTTCTCTGTGATGAGAATTAAGTTTTTTTTTTTTTTTTTTTTTTAGATGGAGTTTCACTCTTGTTGTCCAGGCTAGAGTGAAGTGGCTCAATCTCAGCTCACCTCAACCTCTCCCTTCCCGGTTCAAGCAATTCTCCTGCCTCAGCCTCCAAGTAGCTGAGATTACAGGTGCCGGCCACCACACCCAGCTAATTTTTGTATTTTTGGTAGAAATGAGGTTTCACCATGTTGGCCAAGCTAGCCTCGAGCTCCTGACTCAGTTTATCTGACCACCTTGGCCTCCCAAAGTGTTGGGATTACAGGTGTGAGCCACTGCACCCAGTCTGAGAATGAAGTACTTTAATATTGGGTTCCTCTGGCCAGGCACAATGGCTCAGCCTGTAATCCCAGCACTTTGGGAGGCCAAGGTGAGCAGATCATGAGGTCAAGAGATTGAGATCATCCTGGCCAACATAGTGAAACCTCATCTCTACTAAAAATACAAAAATTACTCACATCTGTAATCCCAGCACATGGGAAGCCAAGGCAGGTGGATCACGAGGTCAAAAGATTGAGACCATCCTGACCGACATGGTGAAACCCCGTCTCTACTAAAACACAAAAATTAGCCGAGCGTGGTGGTGTTCACTTGTAGTCCCAGCTACTCGAGAGGCTGAGGTGGAAGAATCTCTTGAACCAGGAGGTGGAGGTTGCAGTGAGCCAAGATTGCGCCACTGTGCTCCAGCCTAATGTCAGAGCGAGACACCGTCTCCAAAAAAAAAAATTAGCTGGGCGTGGTGGCACATGCCTGTAGTCCCAGCTACTCTGGAGGTTGAGGCAGGAGAATTGATTGAACCTGGGAGGCAGAGGTTGCAGTGAACCAAGACTGTGCCACTGCACTCCATACTGGTGACAGAGCAAGACTCCACCTCAAAAAAAAAAAAAAAAAATTAGGTTTCTTCTTCAGAAAGGGCTAGGATTTTATTTTTCCTGAAGTAAAATATTTGCTACAGGAATTACTAATTTGTTTATTAAAAAAACATTATTATAGAGTTGAACCAAAGATGTTCATTAATATTTTCAGACATGATTGTCAATAGAAAATAAGCCTAGGCCGGGCATGGTGGCTCACTCCTGTAGTCACAGCACTTTGGGAAGCCAAGGTGGGCGGATCATGAGGTCAGGAATTTTCGACCAGCATGGCCAACATGGTGAAACCCCGTCTCTACTAAAAATACAAAACTTTAACTGGGCATGATGGCGCGTGCCTGTAATCCCAGTTACTCAGGAGGTTGAGGCAGGAGAATTGCCTGAACCCAGGAGATGGAGGTTGCGGTGAGCCAAGATCGCGCCATTACACTCCAGCCTGGGTAACAAGAGTGAGACTCCATCTCAAAATAAATAAATAAATAAATAAATAAATAAAAAATTAGCCAGGCGTGGTGGCAGGCGCCTGTAATCCCCGCTACTTGGGAGGCTGAGGCAGGAGAATCACTTGAACCTGGGAGGCGGAGTTGTGGTGAGCTAAGACTGTGCCACTGCACTCCAGCACAGCAACAAAGCAATACTCCATCTCAAAAAAAAAAAACCACAAATCAAAAAAGAAAAAGAAAAAGAAAGAAAATAAGCCTGTAGGCCAGGCATGGTGGCTCACGCCTGTAATCCCAGCACTTTGGGAGGCCAAGGCAGATGGATCATGTGAGGTCAGGAGTTCGAGACCAGCCTGACCAATATGGAGAAACTCTGTCTCTACTACAAAAATACAAAAATTAGTTGGGCATGGCGGCATGTACCTGTAGTCCCAGCTACTCAGGAGACTGAGAAAAAAGAATCACTTGAACCTGGGAGGCAGAGATTGTAGTTAGCCAAGATCGCACCATTGCACTCCAGCCTTGATGACAGAAAGAGACACCATCTCAAAAAAAGGAAAAAGAAAAAAGAAAGTCTGTAACTCGCAAAAGCAAAATTAAAATATGTATTCTTATAGGGAGGGATCTGAAATAACTCAAATACTATATATCACATGTATTAAAAAAAAACAGTGAAAAATGCAAATGATTGGGCAAAAAGCACAAGAGAAGATATCCTACATCTCCTTTCAGGTCTGAAACTAAGTTTTCTTAACCTAGGAATGTCAAAAGAGTGAATAAGGTGTATTTCCTGTCACTAACAAAACAAGAAACATTTCATCTAGTATAGTATTAGAATCACCCTGAAGAGCTTGTGAAAATTACACATTCCAGCCAGATGCGGTGGCTCACGCCTGTAGTCCCAGCACTTTGGGAGGCCGAGGCAGGCAGATCACTTGAGGTCAGGAGTTTGACACCAGCCTGGCCAACATGGTGAAACCCCAACTCTACTAAAAATACAAACACAGGCCGGGTGCGGTGGCTCAAGCCTATAATCCCAGCACTTTGGGAGGCCGAGGCAGGTGGATCACGAGGTCAAGAGATCAAGACCATCCTGGTCAACATGATGAAACCCCGTCTCTACTAAAAATACAAAAAATGAGCTGGGCATGGTGGTGCGTGCCTGTAATCCCAGCTACTCAGGAGGCTGAGGCAGGAGAATTGCCTGAACCCAGGAGGCGGAGGTTGCGGTGAGCCGAGATCGTGCCATTGCACTCCAGCCTGGGTAACAAGAGCGAAACTCCGTCCCAAAAAAAATAAATAAATAAAAATAAAAATAAAAATACAAACACATTAGCCAGGCATGGTGATAATATGCCTGTAATCCCAGCTACAAAAACATTAGCCAGGCATGGTGGTGTATGCCTGTAATCCCCAGCTACTTGGGAGGCCAATGCATGAGAATCACTTGATCCTGAGAGGCAGAGGTTGCAGTGAGACAAGATGGCACCACTGAACACCAGCCTGGGTGACAGAGCAAGATTATGTCTCAAAAAGAGAAAAACAAAAAAAAAGGCGAGGCTCTGTCTCAAAAAATAAAATTTAAAAGTCTAAAAAATATGTAAAACAATTCTATACATTGTTTTTGGATATATATAAATATGTACTAAGGGTAAAAACCATTCATGATAATGATAAACACCAAATTCAGGATGATGCTTACTTCTAGGGAAGAAAGGCTAGAAACAGAAATAAATATAAACAGGGCCAGGTGAGGAGGCTCACATGTGTAATCCTAGCACTTTGGGAGGCCAAAGCAGGCCAGGAGTTTGAGACCAGCCTGGGCAATATAGGAAGACCCTGTCTCTACAAAAAATACAAAAATTAGCCAGGTGTGGTTGTGTGCACCCATAATAGTCCAAGCTACTGGGGTGGCTGAGATGGGAGGATCACTTGAGCCAGGGAGATGGAGGTTGCAGTGAGCTGAGATTGCACCACTGTACTCCAGCCTGGATGACAGAGCATGACTCCAATTCATTAAAAAAAAAAAAAAAAAAAAAGTACAAAGGGGTCTTCAATAGTTTCTAATATTTTGCTCTAAAAATAACAGACTTAAAGCAAATTAGACAAAATATTAAGATTTGACAAGTCGGGTAGTGGTCTACTTATGCTTTCCTGTATGCTTAACATATTTTAGTTCTTCTGATTTAAATACTCATTTTACAAAGTGCAGAAAGTTTAGAAAAGATCCACTACTCACAATTCCATCACCGAGAAGCAGATTTCCTCCTATTTTCTTCAAAATGAATTTTATATAATTGAGTTATATCACTTTATACTCCAAAAACTAACAAACTCAGATCCTCTTACCTTCATTGTGTCAATGTGGATTTGACTCATTCGCTGGATATAACTAAGCAGCCTCTTCCTCTCCCACAAGGAACTAAAATTACAATAGGATAAGCAAGTCTATCATTATTTGCTTAATGATAATCCCTGCAGTATATAGTAGTACATAAGCAACTTTAGATTACTTACACTAACAGAGAAGTTAGATTGGAAGGAACTAACAATAATTCAAACATACTCCTCCTCGAAAGTCTCCCCTTCCTTTGCTCCTAAAATAGGGCATTCTCCTGCTGAATCAATGTAGGCCTCCCCTAGGCTTCTGTCCCTGATTCTCTTCTCTCTTGCTAAACTTAAGACTTGAAAAACTCCACATCTCTTTCATGTCTACTCAATGCTCAAGCTGTACTTCATTTTAACCAAACTGAAGTCAATATCTACCCTCATAATCCTGGATTGATTTATGAGCACCAGCTATGACTCAAGCATGAATGAAATACATATGAAGCCTTTAACTTTATTTATATTCATTTTCCATTGTCAGCAATCCCTCATCATGCTCCAGTTTCAAGAAAATACGTAATGGGAATTAAATATGAACAGCTCAAAGTCTTGTGATTCATTATTCTACTTCATTTACAATCACTAGTTGGGCCCAGCATATCATCCTCCCCTCGACTGGGTGTCAACACAGAGTGCAGGCAAAGGGTTTTACTGATCTACTAGCTAATCAGATTTTTAAAAAGTATCTTCTATAAATCATACATAGACTTGGAGTCAGAGGCACCACACTGGCCTCTATGGTGCACCCTGAGACCCATAGTAATAAGAACACTTAAGGATGATTTCTTGGGATGCACAGAAGCATTATTACAGCTGATAAACTGAAGCACCATACTTGTGTTTTCCTATTCCCCTATCATCCTTATCAGTTTGACATAACAAGCACAGCACAAACCAGGTTTTCAGAAGTACTTATAGGTGGACTCAGGTTAAGGGGAGTCACATAGCTGAGCATAACCAGAGTAATAGCATAAAATACCAAATCTAAACTAACCCCATGACTACCTAGTATTTTCCTAAACTGACATTCAGTATTCATCACTTAAAACCAAGAAATTGGGCCGGGTACAGTGGCTTATGCCTGTAATCCCAGCACTTTGGGACGCCAAGGCAGGCGGATCACAAGGTCAGGAGTTCAACACCAGCCTGGCCAATGGGTGAAACCCCATCTCTACCAAAAAAACAGAAACTAGCTGGGCATGGTGGGGGGCACCTGTAGTTCCAGCTACTGGGGAGGCTGAGGCAGGAGAATCTCTTGAACCTGGGAGGCAGAGGTTGCAATGAGCAGAGATTGTACCGCTGCACTCCAGCCTGAGTGACAGAGCAAGACTCCATCTCAAAAAGAAAAAAACAAAAACAGAAAAAAAACCTCAAAAATCACTGATTAGAGTATATAAAAATAACCACCCAAAACCTGGGGGTTGTTTTGTTTAGCCAAGTACATGGCATTAAATAAAGATTTAAAGTAGTCATGGGCCAAGATACTTAGACTATAAAAGAATTTTATTCCTGTGTTCCAACATTTCTGAAATTTAATGCTTCTTACAACTGACATGTACATTTAATGTGACAATGTTTCCTACTTGTTAAAAAAACCTTTATAAATCAATGGTTGTTCATAAAATTGAGGGCCTAATTAGGAGTGCTTGTCTAAGCTGGATTCTCCCTAGAAGGCAGAGTCCAGGATAAGAGCTTGCAAGTAATTAATCTTGGGGTGTGAACCCTAGGCACAGGGGTTAGGGAGTCTAGGAAGACTAAAATAGAAAATTAGATTAAAACAGTTCAAAGGTCCATTAACAAGTTGATTGCATTGGTATTACTGTGAGCAATTGAATGGAGTGGTGAGTAGGGCTGATCCCACTGTTAACCTGTAAGGTACCACTGTCCTGTAGAACTTTCTGCAATGATGGAAATGTTCTATATCTGCTCTGTCCAACACAATATCCACTAGTCATAGTTACTACTGAGTACTTAAAATATGACTAGTGTAACAGAATTTTTTTTATTTCATCTACTTCTAATTAATTTAAACATGAAGCTAGTTGTTATCATACAGAAAAATACAGCTCTAAGGAGTCCTACAGAATTTGAGTTATGAGGTGGGGCACAGAGATGTGCAATATAGTGGTCCTTCTGGAATTTTGTCTGTTTTGTTCACTCATGTGCCCCAAGTTCATGGAAGAATGCCTAGTACAGTGAGCCTTCCAAAAATACTGACTGAATGAATCAATAGCACTTGGGTCCACAAAGATGCACATGGCTTCCTTGAAAAGAAAGACTATATTAGAACAAATTCCATTCAGTTCAAATAGTAAGCAACTATTATATACAAGAAACAAGTAATAAGGGGGACTTTGAGAGGACTGAGAGGGTTGAAATGTGGTTAGGAAAGAGCCATGCTGGGCACAGTGACTCATGCCTGTAATCCCAAAACTTTGGGAGGCCGAGACGGGAAGATCATGAGGTCAGGAGTTTGAGACCAGCCTGGCCAACATAGTGAAACCCTGTCTCTACTGAAAATACAAAAATTAGCCAGGCATGGTGGCGCACGCCTATAGTCCCAGCTACTTGGGAGGCTGAGGCAGGAGAATCACTTGAACCTGAGAGGTGGAGGTTACAGTGAGCCAAGATCACGCGCCACTGCACTCCAGCCTGAGTGGCAAGATTCTGTCTCAAAAAAAAGAGCCAAGATAAGGTCCCTGGAGATTCTAATCCAAAGGATATTTACTGAAAGTCAGTTAAGGTTATGTGTTCTTTTTTTTTTTCCCACTAGAGGCCCACTGAATTCCTAGAAGAAGGGTTATGTGTTCTATAGTAATCTTGTTTCACAATCTACTTCCAGTATCAATTACTAAGTAACACTAAGTGAAGTAATGTAGTATAATTCTTTGTTTTGATTCTTGGTTACTGTTACCACAAACAACATGTAACTAAGTGAAATTTCAGAAGAGAAGACCATATTTCTGTTGCCAATTCTCTAATAGAAATAAAATCTTCACTTTATTTATTTATTTATTTATTTATTTATTTTTTTTGAGACGGAGTTTCGCTCTTGTTACCCAGGCTGGAGTGCAATGGCGCGATCTCGGCTCACCGCAACCTCCGCCTCCTGGGTTCAGGCAATTCTCCTGCCTCAGCCTCCTGAGTAGCTG